AAAATTTTTTGAATCATTAAATAAAATTTTATTTTATTATTTAATAATGAATTTTATTCATAAATGAATTTGTTTCTTTTTATGCCAACGTTTCGACAGTTCTACTATCATTATAAATACATACGATAGAGATGCCCATTGGTAAATATAGTTTAAAGAACGAAAAAGTGAACTTCTGGTTGTGGCTAACTACCATAAACTTTACAGATATCTCTACAATGATGGAGTCAGTGTTATGAGCCCCCATAATACTGATCATTTGCCTCTGTGGTGCTGCATCAATCCTGTTTTATCTTGACTTTTGGTTTTTTTTTGTTGGAGTTTCTCCGGATATATTCTGAGTAGTACAGAGCAAACAGTTCTATTTAGTGTGCATTGATAAACAGCAATGATTAACGGCTCTTACTACAAATCGACATTGTTTTGTATCTTTCGTGATGACTTTCCAATCAATCCACTTAATATTATGATTATTACGACTATATTTGTTTTGTTTTTTAAAGTTTCAAACCTTTCTTCTTTCGGAGAATATTTTACTTTTTTAATTCTATATTTATGTCGGATCTACATAAACTATGTGAATTAAATCTTGCAGTTGATGGTTGCAAAGATAGAGATATTTCTTTTTTTTTAGATTAGCATCATGTTCATAGAATCTTCTGGATATTAGTCGTATAGGTTTACTTATGTATGAAGCTTGATAATTAGAATAATTAATTTTATAAGCAAGTTCATTAGTTTTTTTCCTAGTATTTCAGTTGGTTTTTCAACAAATAGAATATCTATGACTACGGGTTTTTTTTTTACTAATGATAGAAAGTACTCCAAATGTTCAAGGACTTTTAATTTCATCTTTTGATCACCAGTAGGTTACAATGAGACTATGAAAACCACAAGAGCATTCGTGCCTATGACTCTTGTCTCCCGACATATGATAAAATATATATCAAAAAAGAGAGACCTTTTATTATTTTTTGCAAAAAATCATTTCTATGTATTTCTCAATATTTCCGATGTTGAGCATAACTGTTCAAGAAAATTGATAGCAAACTCTACTATATCTAAATTTCAAATACTGAATAAACTGAATTATGAAGTACTGAACATTTATCAGTACATTAGCTGGTCTCAAACACTTTCTTTCATGTATCAGAAGCAAAAAATAAACAAATCATATATTATTCAAGTTAAACTACAAATGAAAAAAAGTAAGAACTCATGTAATGATAGTGGTAATCTGCACAGAAGTGATGAACATACAATACGTTTCGACACTACGAACAACAAATGAAATGAAAACGTCCAGGATAAGTATTCGTATGTTGACCTGCAAACTAACTGTATTATATGCATTTACGTAAGACAAATATCACCATCTGATAATGTACGAGTGATAATAGTGGAGTTATACTATTTCGATCAGAGATTTGAATATTTAGTTGGTCGAGGGCAACCCAATTAAATTATAATTTATATAAAATTTTTCTTTTGCTTTTTTGCTAATTCGACATGGGTGTGCTTTCGAAATTATAAATTCGAATTTATATAAAATTTTTCTTTTGTTGTTATGCTGTGACAACATGGAAGTCGTTTTTTTTTGAATTTTTCATTTATATTCGAACTCGAATTAGGCATCTACTCTCCATAGCATGATGCTTTTTGTTAAAACAATAAAGACAAGAAAAATTTATCACTGTCAGAACAAAAGGTTTTTACTTTTTTTGCTACCGCATAGCTCGCTTCTCTTGACTATTGTGCCCTTCCCTTTGCAAAGCAGCCAGTACGGCATCTGCCGACATTGCGCGTAGATCCTTCCTTTTTTTCGACCTTGGAATCAGCAAGTTTGCACTTCGTATGGGTTGCTGATTTTTGTCTCGGATCAGATTTCAGCTTCTCGAATGGCATGCCTTGCAGTAAATATATCACAAGATTTTTGCGAAACTGCAGAATTGTCATTCCGTTCCATGTCATGTTATAAACAGAAAAGAGAAAACGACAGACCAGCACAGAATGGAAAGACCAATGAGTAGATTTGTCGAAAGACGAATGCGCACGCAAATGAATCTGTAGAACTACTCTCTAATAAGATCGAATCATATCGAATGTGTTAAGTAAGTTGTGGAAGCTATCGTCTATAGTCTATCATTGCCAATGGGGTTTATTCTGTGTTCTATTCCAGCAAGCAACATCAATGTTGAAAGTGCATTTTTGAAGATGAGATATTTGTCCGATGACTTTTTCAATTGAATGTCAGTAGATTCAATAGCTGCAGAACTATAAAATTTGCTGAAATAGATCATTATTGCACGAACATATACAAACAAATGGTGTCTAAAAAAGAATTGCTAACCGAAAACCATTCAAATAGTAAATGCGGTTACATTAAAAAAAAATGATATGTTTAATAAAATATCCATCTTCCTTATGTATTATTTGTTATCTTTTAGAGCTTTGAGAATAAAGAAGTGACATGGAAAGAAGCAGCAAGTTATTTAAATCCATAGAAATACGAGGAATCTACAAAAGACAGTTTTCCGCCTGATTTTCGCTTTCTTGGCTTGAAGAGGTGGTAGCCCTGTTTCACATATTTAAGAAAATATAACGTTTTCTATTTTTATTAGTAAACTAATTTTGACATTTTATTTGCCTATTAGAAAATAAAAAGATATTGTAACTTGAGAGTTCTCGCTTACTGAATTAATCTTAAACAATGTTTCAATGATATGTTGTTAATTGTTTTTAATTCTGGTTCTTCATCGAAAAAGTAAAGCAAAGCACTGAAAGAAAGTAGTCATTCATTTTATTGAATTGTATACAGGCTTACACCATTCATATTTGACATAACTGGCTTATTTATGTCGAACAGCATAGCACGATAGGAACTTGGATGATATTGAATTGTTTTCTTTATTTTTTCATCTTCTGTAATCTGTAACAGACGTTCAGTCTTGTGGTCGGCAATCAGCCATTCATTACAAGTACGTGAGCAGCAGCGAAATGCTCTATTTTGAACGCACGTAATATCAAGTTGAAGTAACCAGATTAGGGACGGTCATTTAATGTTACTTTAAAAAAATAATGATAAATGAATCCTTTAACTTTATTTTCTAAAGATAAATGGTTGGAAAAAAAAGGGTATCATTTATTTTTTAAAGTAACACTGAATGACCACCCATAATTCCAAGCTGAACAAATATTGAAGATACGCATTGAAGACTACATATAAGCAACCATCCAGATTTTATTCTCTGAACTGCTATCATCGGTAACAATATTCATTATTGGAAAACATTTATTAAATATTAAAATAATTCTAGCAGATATATTTTATTGAGTCGAATGTTAAACTATGTTCGAACATCCATTTTACATATTTTAGATAAAAAATATATAATGTAAAAGAATAAAAACGTCAATCCGATGAATTTATTCTACGATAATTTTCATTAAGATACTTTCTTATTAATAATGGTAGTTGAGTTGAATAAATTTTGGATAATAATATATATATGATTCTTTAAATACACCTACCCTCAATCTCTATCCAATTTTAGATACTGGGAAAATATAAAGAATTGAAGGCCAACCAAAAAAAGCTATCATCCCACTGCTCTCCGCCTAAATCCGCCACTGAAATTGTGAATTTTTATTTCAATCTCTTCAGAATGGATTTACATTTTTGTTCGCTTGCCTAAGTAGATAATATTATTTCGAATATGTCGCCCAATTCTTCTTTCACTTGACTCATCGAAAAAAAATAGTTTCTATGCGTGTGATTGGTCGAAAATATCATTTAATGCGAATTCTGTTCTTGATATATAGAAAAGCGATGTAATAAAGAAAACATACAGGTAGTGATACTTCAATCGTTCCTGCTTAATCAAAACAAGTTATTTTTTTTGTTTACAAAGTGCTTCACAAGTGTAGTTACTTTTTCGTTGTATTGTTGTTAAGTTTGTTTTTCTCTCTTATTAATATTAAACACTTATATATATAATATTTTAGATTTATTTTTTTTTTGTGTCACTTTTTAATCATATAATCTTCCTAAGCTTTCGTTACTAATTCATTTCTAACGAAGAATCAGGAGTTCCAATGATCCTAAGAAAACTCGACCACCAAATACATTAACTACACATTCTGCTCAGATCGTCTCTTTTTTTTTAGCAACTGCGATGCAGTCACAGTATAACTAGGCCATAAGTATCGATCACAGTACAATCGTACTTACGACGCATTTGCGTCGCAATTCTATCATAATTGCAAACATAGGTGCGTTCAAAGAGGTTGAATTGCTTTAAAAAAAACGAGAAATAAAGAGTAATTGTTGAACATTATCATATCCGTTCAGAAAATTATGCACAAAAATATTTTTTCTGAGTTGATCTTTCCACATTAGCACACGTTTTTTTTAAGAATCTTGTCTGACGGAGTGCATGCATAAAATTTTATGCATGCAAGACAATCTTAGAATGGTCGAAAAACGAACTATATGTAGTAAGCATACATGAATACGTAAGATTTTTTTTCAGAGATAATACGCAAGAGTGTTGCATACAATTATTTGCAAGAGTAAGAGTCATTCACAAACTCGCATGTTTTTCTTGAAAACTTAAAAAATTGTATTTCTATGCATGTGTTTGCGATATACACACATATGCACAACAATTGCAAATATACGCGTTTTTTTAAGTTTTCGCGTTTGACTGGATTACACATAATAAAAAAAACAGATTCTTTTCTTTTTTATCATATTTTCAAAAACAAATGAATAATCTATTTTTCGACGAATCATCACCTCCAGTCGACGTCTTCATTGTTATTCTTCTAAAATCGTTTTTCTTACAACATCTGTTAATGAATTGAACCTGAGACAAAAAAATCTTAACTTTTATAATATAGATACAAAAGCAATCCTTTTCTTCTTTTCACCAATAAACAAATACTTTCTTCCTACTACAGTTAATTTCAATACATTACAATTTTATTATTTTCATCAAATGTCTTCATTATGTTCGATCGAAAGATGTACTCGAACATCACGTGGTTTGTGTGATTGTTGCCAACAAAATCTTTGTTTACAACATTTAAATGAACATAATGCTTTACTCACTGTTCAACTGAATCCTTTAACTGATGAAATTAATACACTTAGAGATCGTCTTAAAACACTCAATATTCAAAAAACAATTGCGGATAGTCGTCAAAAACTTGAACAATGGCGTCAAAATTGTTATAAGAAGATTGATTGTTTTTTTGAACAAAAATGTCAAGAACTTGATCAACTTATTAATGAAAAAGTTAGCCAACAACGAGAAGAACTAAATCAAATATACTTGAAGATAATTGAACTCATCAATGCACAAGAAGCAACTCGTCAAGATATCGATTTATTGACATCAACTATTCGTCAACTCGAAAGAAATATGAACAATATCGAACAAACATGTTTTACAATCGATACTCGTCCATTACTAATAGATGACACGTTGATTTTCATTAAAACAACTGAACATGAACTTGATCTATCAACTCTTTCACCTATCTACAAAACAGTTCATCATTCTGAGGAAAGTTTTCGATCATTAACTAGCAACAATCGATACTTACTGATACATCAATATCCAAATTTATGTTTATTTGATAGAGAAATGAACATAGTCAAACAAATGTTATGGTCCTACGATGCAATTCAGGATATGTGTTGGTCATCAACATTAGATCGATTTATTGTCCTTGGAGAAAATAACATCTTTCTCATAAATGAAAATACAATGTCAATTGATAATATGAACACAATCGAAGAGCGAAACTGGAAATCATGTACATGTTCTGATACAGTTCTCTTTGCAAGCACAAATGGATGGGCTTCATCTATTATCGAATTCAATCTATACTCAGCAATCGAACTGATTAGAGAATGGGAATATCCTATTACATGTTCGAAAGATGAAATTATTCATGATATTGCTTATAATAACGAAAATCTCGCTCTGATCGTTAAGAATAAATCCGAAATGTCGCTACGCATTGAACTGAGATGTGCGAAGACGCTCGATTGCATCTGGTTACTTCAACTTGATATTGAATGTCTCTACAATACAGCATTTTGCTGTTGTTCACTTACTTGTAATGAATGGCTCATTATTGACTATGAGACTCAACGCTTGGTGCAGATTACAAAAGATGGAAAACTAAAGAAAACAATTAAATATCATCCGATTCCTTACTGTGCTACTCTGTTCAACCTAAATAAGCTAGCTATATCGACTGTGAATAACATAAACTTGCATACAATTCAATAAAATGAATGATTGCTTTCGTTCAGTGTTTTGGATTACTTTTTCGATGAAGAACTAGAATAAAAAAATTAATCGTATTTTACTGAAATATTATTTAAGGTTGATTTAATCATGAAGATGAGTTATATAATCTTAATAACATTTTATCAAGGAACACGAAAAAAAAGATACAAAATATCTGACAAAGAAATTTTTTTATAATTAAGATGAATTCATTTGTTGCTCAAGTAATAAACGAGCCATTTGAACAAATGTTGGTGCTGCCATAGCTACTGATTCGTCGGATTCACCATTCACCGGTGGCTAAAATAAAGTTCAATAATCATGAAAAGATTTATGTTTTCATAAAATTTTACCATAGGAATGAATTTTGTAGAATCCTGATTACTTATTGATCTTTGCATAGAACCATTTCGAGTTGCAAGAGTATGTGCTACAACTTCACCATGTGTTTCATTGGAAAAACTCTATTTAAAAAAGATGTTTTACAAAAAAAAAGCCAAACTCATGTCTTAAACTTACACTAAATGGAATAGAAATAGTTGATCCTTCATTAATATCATCAATATCAATTTTAGCAAGAAGTATATTCGTTATCGGACCTACGTAGAATAACAAAAAAAGAAGAGAACATGATAAAAATCAAAAAATGTCTTTATACTTGAACATGTTTTTTTAAAACGTATTTGTCCTGATGATAAATCCCAAATGACACAATCTTTATCAAGACTACCAGAATATAAAATCTGTTCATCTGCACTTAATCGAAGTGATATAACAGAACCTCTAAAAAAAAATAAAATTCTCATAATAAATAATTTTTAAACATAATCTTTATATTCAATTTACTGATGATGATTTAATTGTTTTGAATTATTATTATCAATTGTTATTGTTGGATTTTGATGTTGAATTCCTCCAAACTAAAATTTTCATTCAAAAAAAAAATAAAGAATCTTTTCTTCTTCTTATTTTTACTTGTGATGTTAATGTTCTTAATGAAACAATAAAAATTGTACCAATATCTGTACCACAATAAATTGTTTTAGAAAATGATGATGAACATATTGAATGAATTTCATTAGGAAATAAAAATGTACATAAACATTTTCCTGTAACAATATCCCATAACTAAAATTCAAAATTTTATGACTTTAGAAAAAGAAAAACAACAAAGATTATTAAAAACATACTCGAACACTAAGATCACTTGAAGCAGTTAAAAGTAAATGAAATTTTCCAATTGATATTTGACAAAGGTCATGAATTGGACCTGTATGACCTTGAAATGATTTCGTTGGAGAAATATCCAGATTTCGATCAGGATTTATTCTTTAATGAAAAGAAAAAGAATACATTTTTGTTTTTCGACTAAAACAAAACAAATGAGTGTATTTTTGTTTTTACTCTTCAATATTCCATCGATGAATAAGATTATCTTCACCAACAGATATCAAACAATCTTGATCTTCATCAAATAATAAATGATTTATTGTTCGAATATGTGCTGAAAGTGTTATTAAATGTTGGCCATTATCAAGCTAAACAACAACAACAACTACAGATTGTATATTTTTATTTTAAATTTATATTTTTTTTTTACTTTATAAAGAAATATTTTATTTCCTATTCCACAAGCTAAGACAGTTGAATCACGAATAAATGTCATTGAACTAATAGGTCCTGCAACTGTTATTTTTTTATAATCTCGATTCTAGAAATAAATGTAATAAAAAAAGAAAATGAAATTAATTATAAACCAATTAGAATCCTACTCGACTATTTAATTTCCAAACATATATTGAAGGACGATCAACAGCAGCAGCATAGATATGATCACGAGAACATAAGAGACCATGACATGCAACAGGTGCATCACATTTAAATGTCAGAAGAACATTACCATTTAATCCATTAAAACCGCTGATTGTCCATGGATGAGCTTGTTGAGTAGTAATTAAAACAGTCGGTTGATATTGAACCATGGCTGTTGTCTTTGCAGGAAACATGACAATAGTAGTAGAATGTGTTTTTTTTTATTCCAAATTTCAGATTGGATCCAAGAAATGAATCTCTATCCAAAGAGAAATAATCTAATTAGTCAATACAATAGATGTCGCTGTAAAAAAAACAAGAAAGAATAATTAAATTTAAACAATGGATAATTTTAAAATAATCGATGTGATGGAAAATTATCACAAACACCAGACATACATCATAGAGAAGCGATCGATGGAAAACAAACATCAAATATCCATTACAATCCGTGAAATACCAACACATTTACTATGATGATCGAGACCGAAAGTCCACTAGTTGAACATCGAAGATTACTGAATTCAGATAGAAAATCTAAATTTTAATACTCAAAAAACATTACAGTAATACCATTATCCTAAGATGCCATATTATACAATAATATCGAATCTGTCTGTTAATTGATCTACTATTCATTTTACAATATAATCTACTGCATTGTTTTTTGAATAACTTTTGATAGGAACATCATAGAGACTTGCAGTTTTCACCATTTAAGAGAGAAGACCCAGTTCCATTGAAACATATCAAAATTTGACTAGCCAGCAATTAGATGACTTCTTGGTGGAGATTTTCGAAAACGATGTTCCGAAGCTTTTTTTCTTGCTATTCAGACTTTTAATAGGACTAGTCCATGGAAAAATTTGTTCACTTTCGATCTACTTTCGAAAATATTGAGATAACAGAGTCAAATCATTTCGAATCGAAAAAGAAATATCACTATTTGATTCAGTCTGATGAATTACAGTTGCCTGGCAGCTTTACCAGATAATCATAGGTCGATTGGTTGAAATTGGGACTCTTAGGAAAAGCTAGGAATGTCGGTCTTGCGTAGATCAAAAGAGAAGGATTTTTTTTATCGATTAGTTCTATTAAAATTCTAAACAGAAAAGAAAGTAATGCCAGAATACTGTTTTCGAAAATTTTCACAAAGAACTCATTTGATTGGTCAGTTGCTGCCAAATCATGTTTCGATATATTTCGATGGTCACTGATCTCCTGTCTTGAATGGTGAAAACCGCAGCTCTCTATGATGTTCCTATCAAAAGTTATTCAAAGAACAGTGCAACACATTATATTTTGAAATGGATAGTAGTTTTCTCCATCAAAGCCTGTCTCGCTACTTGCGATGTGTCACCTAGACGCAGGGGCGGCGCGAGCGGGGGGGGTTGGGGGAGGGTACCCCCCCCCCTGCTTTGGAAAGTTCGACTGCAGCTTTCTCCGATTTTGAGAAAAACTGTCCCAAAATTACTCCATTTTGGTAGAAAATGTCTTAAAATTTCTCCAGTCAATGAGAAAATGTCCCAAAATTGCTCTAATTTTGGAGAAAATGTCTCAAAATTTCTTCAATTTGGCAGAAAACATCTTAAAAATTCTCTAGCTGGTGAGAGGATATCTCAAAATTTCTTGAATTTTGCAGAAAATGTCTCAAAATTTCTCGAGTTGGTGAGAATATGTTCCAAATACTTCTTCAATTTTGGAAAAAATGTCTCAAAACTTCTTCGATTTGAGAGAAAATGTCTTAAAATTTCTCCAACCAATGAGGCAATGTCCCAGACTTTCTTCAATTTTGGAAAAAATTTCTCAAAATTTCTCCAATTTTGGAGAGAATGTCTGAAAAATTTTTCAACTTCCGAGAAGATATATTTTGAACTTTTTCCGGTTCTGAAGAACCTTTATTACAATGTTTTCCATTTTTTGTAATTGATAACAGAAGAATCTACCTATCTACTTGCTTTCAAAAACACTAGTATAAAAAAGGTACTAGGTACTTACAATTTGGAGACTTTTTTCTATTTTCTCCCATTTTTCACAATATCCCCCCCCCCCTGCCTTAACCCCTCGCGCCCCCCCTGCCTAGACGCAAAAGTTTCTTCTCTATCTTGTTTTCAAGATGATTATATGTACTTTTCTTTTCACGGAAAAGTAGTAAATTTAAATTATTCTTTTTTTAGAATATATCACTTTTCTCATATTTCCCTTTGATGAGATCAAGGTACAAAGAATAAAAATGTAGTTTTTATTTATCATCTTTTTTATCAAGTGAAAAAAAGATGCCTAGGTCAAGAAGTACCAGCCATTTCCGACCGGAAAATGGTAGGAACTTGGAAGCAGGAATGCAGGTGATCAGATTCCATGTCCAACTCTGGCCAGTTACGATCAGAATTAGAAAAATTCGGCCACTCGATTCTTGCTTTCAAGTGTCTAACATTTCGTTAGTTTCACGGCCGAAAATTCACGCATCTGGAAACTAGAATCATTGACCTATGTGAGTTTTTCTTTAATACATATTTTATGAAACTTTGTTAGTGTACATTTTGATGGATTGTGCTTAGAAAAAGAACGTGTACATGTACACTTTACTAGTATAAACCAGAATTGCTAGGCCAAAGTTATTGGCCTGACTTTTATCTTTTGGAATTCAAATGTTGATGCATTACCTCATTATAAAAACACATTGCGTTAATGCAAGCCTTTCTTTTATGAAAAAAATATTTATGATGTTTGTGTCTTTATTTCGTGTGAGAAACTTATTATTATTTACCTATTGGTAACTCTCGTATAAACAGAACGTACAAAGACATTTCCTTCTGAGTTTTTATTAGAAATACCGTTTTGATGTTGTTAAAAAAAATGTTTCTTTTTCCTTATAAGTAGACATCGATAGTGATGGTACTTCATTGAGACGAAAACGACTTTTCTAGTATATGTTAAAAATCTAAAGTAGCAGAGATTTTTGTTTTTATTCGTGGGGAATGTATACAATCTAGGAATATGTTTATTTAAAAAACAAAAGAGAATAGTAATTATAAGTGTAGAGAAGATATGAGGTTTTTATTTGGTTGCTAAAGACCACCATGTCCATGTTTTTATCTTCTACAGTGATGGTGTTGTTGTTGTCTCGAATTTTTGATTACTTGATTTTATGAGTAATGAAATCTTTTTTTTCTTGTTGTGTTGTAATT